ACATACAGTTCATTCACACACAATCCATATGCTCTGCCACTGAGCAGAGGGGTCCTAACCATCCTAATAGCCCTATAACTACTAATAACACTAATTGTAGCAGTAAAAATTACTAATGTATCAAAAGGCCCCCTACTACAGACAACGTAAAATGAACAAGCCCATACGAACAGCCCACCCCTTAATCAAAATTGCCAACAGAGCATTAATTGACCTTCCTACCCCAACCAACATCAGAACATGATGAAACTTCGGCTCCCTACTAGGAGTCTGCCTAAATGCACGAATTGCCACAGGGCTATTCCTCGCCATGCACTACTGTCCCAACACAGAAGCCGCATTTTCCAGAGTAGCACACATTTGTCGAGATGTATGGTTGAATCCTACGAACCATGCACACCAACGGAGCATCAGTATTCTTCATATATATACAAATATGGTTATATTATAGCATACACAGAAGCATCTATCATGTTATGTATATATGCCCCAGAAAGATATGAGTAAACTGATTTTAACCAAACTCCTATCTAAAAATGATGAAGTGTTTATAGATGACTACAGTAGCCTATAATAGGGTGTATATGGATGCCTGTACACTGGCCTGAGAATCTAAATGTTCTATAAAACTCACACGCAGTCACAGGAGCAAGACACAACACAAACCACAATACACACACGAAAGTAGAAAGAGTGCTCCGACAGAAGAGGATAGGTGTGACTCGTGTAGTGAGATACGACATAGGGATGAAAAATCCTGAACAATTTTAATATTTTTAACATTTAATATTTATCAATATATATGATAAATATATATTTTAGTTATTTTAATATGAAGACGGCAAGGCATGCAGTGAACTAGTTTAACATAAATCGAATAAGCGCCTGAAGATGGCACTTTTGTGCCGAAACATGTAGTGTGAGAGAGAGGAGTGAGATAGATGAGTGTATGCACTGGAAGACGGTTGAAATAAATCATGGACTTAAATCAGTGCAACAGGACAGTAAAATACAACATCTATAAAACTCATTGACTCTCTACATACTGAGGTTACATGGTCATCCAAAATGTCAGTGGACTTTCAATGGACTACACAGCATTATATTCCACAAGGTAAGCCATTTCATTTAGTTTTTAATATAAATCTCAACAGGGTCACAGTGCAATGGTCCACTAAGGCCCACCCTAGATCAAAATATATAACCTGGACATACCTAACCATCTGAGCACAATATAGCATGCTTGTAGCATCACCTAGCCTAGTCTACTTATTGGTCCCTCTCTAACCTTGCTTACCTATCCTTTCAGTTCTTTGGTTTTCCTCCAGCTTTCCAGACTCTTGATTCTATCTATACACCTTTGTGTATGGTGGTCTGCCTTGCTGTGCAACTGCATCTACACTGCCTCCCCAGCCTTCCTGCTTCTGGTTGACTATTTCTGTCTCTACCTAACTGATATCAATCTTACAGGCACAGAAAGAAAGTAGACAGATAAATACAATATATTGTGACACATTGCGGTTTGGAGGGTTTGTAAAGTGTGGAAACCCGTAACATTGTTATNCAAGCACGCTGGTCGCTATGCAAAGCGAGTAAACAGCAGTTGCTAGGCAAAGCGAGTAAACAGTGGTACCCATTACGTAACACGGGACGCCGCAGTTGCTACGTAGCCATAAACAACTCCCAACAGCGTTGCTAGGCTATCGGCAAACACAGCGACTAGGCAACAAGGAAGCGAGGCGTTTCCCATTGTCCAGCTGAGGGTTTATAAGAGAACTACACTGCCTACGAAGACAGTTGAGTTGGAATCTAGCCAGCGGAGAGTTACAAGTTGAATTGTAGTAGTCATCGAGTTCAGTTGTAATGAGTGAATCCTGACAGTGTGAAGAGATCAGCCGCCGAAGACAATGGAAGCAGCAGCAGCAGTCATGGAAAGAAGAACCAGACACATGTGTAATTGTGTAATTGGGAGTGTGTAATACAGAGACTTGTATAGCTCCTGTACTATGAATACGTGTAGACTACTGAGGACAGTGTGAAGAGATTTGTGTGTAGGGTTTGTAAAGTGTGGAAACCCGTAACATTGTTATAATTAATTGTAGCCGAGACTTGTAGGTTGTTAAATAAACCAATTAACAATCTGAATGGCATCTTCAGTAACCTAAACACGTTACAATATAAATGGACTGCAAGGTATAACAATAAATTAAGTAAAAGTATCTCTGTAACAAGCCGTGGAGGCCCATACGGTTGTGAGATGTTGAGGTTCCCACATTTTCTAGACAATTGGCTCATAGGTGGTGGTAAGGTTGTCAGCTCTATGCACCAGCCACCCTTAACCCCCAAGAACATTCCAAGAATATTCCTGGTACTCATTTCTGTTAAGAGTCTGAGTGGACCCCAGGGCCATAGTGTGGCTGGAAGGATTAGGTCAACTGAAAAAATCCAATGACCTCATTAGGATAAAGTAAGTAAAAAGAGTAAATGTGTCCCTCTAAGAGGCCGTGGAGGCCCATAGGATTGTGAGGTGTTGAAGCTCCCACACTTTTTGGACAATCAGCTCATAGATGGTGGTAAGGTTGTCAGCCTTACATGCCGGCCATCTTTTATGCCCAGGAATATTCCTGGTACCTATTTCTGTTAGAGGCTGAGTCGACTCCAGGGGCATAGTGCAGCTGGAAGGATTAGATGAATTGAAAAATCCAGTGACCTCATCAGGATTCGATCCGACCTTCCGGCTTGTAGCATAGTGCTTCAACCAAATACGCTACCATGTGGCCCCACAATAAAATAAGAGGAATTGAAAACTACACAATGAAAGACAGAAAACAGATAAAAAATGCAGAATGAGTGAGATTAGTGTGTGCATGTGCGCACATAGATTGTGACATAATAATTTACAGAGAGAGAGAGAGAGAAAGCAGCGTGTGACATAGAAAAAAACAAAGATGTTAAATATGTAGTATACATATTACATTCCATGGATCCAAAATCAAAATTAATGACAGGCAAATTGTGTGTATGTGCTTGTGTGTGTACATATAAAGAATGAATGATATGGAAAGTGACAGGAAGGAGAGGAAATGAAACGTCACACACAGACTGAAAGAAAAATCAATTAAAACAAACACCATAAGCCTGGAATATTACACTGTGTAGTGTGGTACAAGTTTGTGAACGATTCACATGAAGCGCTTGAAGGCCAAAGAGCGAGCTGAGCAGCAAGGAGAGGAGGATCTCGTAAGGCAAACAGATATAAAAATACAAAAGGACAGAGTGGCAGTTCCTGAACCAGAGGTGTAGTAGAAAAATTCAATCTGACAAAATATTTGTAATCCTGCAACTTAAAAATAAAATATTTCATAACAGAATTATTCATGATGTAAAGGAAAAAGGTGGGCATATTTTGTATGGTACATTTCACATGAACAGAAAATTCAGATTATTTTAATTACATCAATAAAATGTGAGACCCAAGAGGCCATTTTTTATTGTTCAATTAACTATTACATAAACAAAAATTTCACATAAGGCAAAAAAGATGGTAGGACTTGATGGATATATAAGATGAAGAAATAAAAGGGAGAAATCACTCATATCCATTTTGAAGTATCTCTCTTTAACAAAAATTATCAAAATTCTTTGAATTCCTCTCCCCATGTCAGTCACACATAAGCAATACTTATTTACAAAAACAGCCCACAACCTGTCAGACGAAAGATTAGTATTCACATTCTGCTACCCTCACAATATCATACAGTTCTTAAATACATTTGCTGTTGATCTTGAAGGGCTCTAAATTTATGGTCACTGAATCAAAGTGTTTCTATAATCACTTTATTACACATCAACAATTACATTTGGCAGCTGCATAATTCTGTGAGAATTTCAATTAATATCTATCTATAAATAAAAAAAAATATTCCTGAAACACTATCAATAGATGCATATGTTTTGCTTTTCCTTATTCTTTAATAACCTTAAAGCCCACTTTGATCAGAGTTGTTTGCACACTGTCCATCTGTATACAGGGTGGGCCAGACTCAATTAGGCAGTTTTTGATCATTAATAACTAACCAATCCAACAACACACGGGATAATGGGAAAGTACCTTTTGTTGTTGATAGATGGCAGCATCATACGGTATGCTGTGAACGAGGTCAATACTCTGCCTACTTAGTGCATGTCGAGGAAACATCATGGCCGGTAGACTGTTGTCTATCGAGCAGCGTGTAAAATGTGTGCGCCTTTTCTCAGTTACCAACAATGTATCAGAAGTCCAGCGCAGGATGTTGGAAGAGTTTGGACAGCCAGCAGTCCACAGGGACACAATCGCCCGAATAAACAAGCAGTTTTATGAAATTGCCAGTGCTTTGAATCCCAAGCATCCTGGTCAGCCGAGAACTGTCCGAACTGCTGACACACAAGCACGTGTTGCTGTGGAACTGGCATCATCTCCTCAGAAATCCCAGAACTTCAGAGGAGAGAGAACTTTGATGAACTGTGGTGGCAGCAAGATGGGGCCCCACCACACTTCACCAATATTGTTCGGACGTTCTTGCATCAAGTTTTTCCTTAACGCTGGATTGGCCATCGAGAGCCTGTGGAGTGGCCAGCCCGATCACCCGACATCACCCCACCAGACTTTTTCCTTTGGGGTTACCTCAAAGACAAGGTGTACGCTAATCCCATTGACAGTGTGAAACATCTGCGTGAGGTGATTGTGCAGGAGTTCAATAAAGTTCCGGTGAATATGTGTAGAAAGGCGTGTGAAAATATTGCTTTGCGTCTGCAAGCCTGTGTTGACTTAGGTGGTGCCCAGGTTGACCAGCATCTTGAAAATCGATGACGTGTGTGCGATTCCATTTTTGTAACCATTGCAACTGTTAACATTTATCAATAAAAATAACATCTAATCAAAAACTGCGTAACTGAGTCTGGCCCACCGTGTATAATACATTCTCCTATAATAAAATCCTTATTGCATCAAACTTTTTTTTCCTGCAGGTATGTGTAGTATAACCAAGAACTTAAGTTATCCATAATGATAAAAAGACAGCTTCATTTCAATATTATGCACAATCACAGTCCTTTTCCATGTAGTGTGTCTTTGTAAGCAGAAACATACGAGTTTACTAAAAAGGTCCAACTCACAACATTGAACTCTGTCCCTTCCAACACTGAGCTTCATTTGGTGTTGCTCTTCAGAGAAGGCCATGACAAAGTATAATGGGAAGAACAAAATGTTCGCAGTTGCTTTTCGACTGCTGTCAATTCAGTGACCCTTTGGAGCATTATACCCTTGGGTTCTGGATTTGTTCACATTATAATGTTGCTGTGCTGTAACTGTGGCATGCTTCTAGCTAAGCAGATTACGTATTTCCTTGTGCATATGACAAAGAAAATCTACATATGATGCTGAGCCATCCAAACCACGATCCTCAATCAGGAAATGCTTGAACACCATTTCTAATTTATCCCGTTGCCTGACCAAGGTTAACTGGAAATATAATAATAAATCCTGTTACCAAAACATCAAAACACAATTATATGAAAACTGCTATCAATGGGGGCAAGGAATAAAGGTGACAGCGCAGATATGAACCTGGAGTGGGGTTCTGCACAGAACAGAAACAGAAACTAATATACTCTCTTTTTTCTACCTTGATTCTTTGTAGTTGTAAGTCTGCTGTTTGTGTATTATTGTTTGCTGTACTGTCTACAGGGTTTAGTTATTTCTGTGGACTGTTTCATTCATGTCAAAAGTATGCAAGAAAGGTGCTATGGGATAGCTGCTACACATAGTGGTAATGTTTCACAAAGACTGCAGCATCATATGGAATACTTTCTTGGAGCAGTAACAGTGTACTTACTTATTTTAAGGAACACAATACAGGGTGTCCCAGGAGGAATGTGCCAGACTTCGGGAGGGTGTTCCTTATATCAAAGTATGCTGATATAACCCAAAACACCTATGTCCAAAGTTGAACGGTTACGGAGATAATGACCTGAGAAAAGTGTGGTGATGACGGCTCACACTAGCCGTAAGCTTATGTGCTTCCTTCAGGGTACGTTGTCAATGGTTGGTAGGTTAGTTGTGCGGAGTTGCTGAAATGCCTTTTGTGTTTTCACATGTGGAATACTGTGATATGCATTTTGTGTATGGATTTTGCGGTGGCAATGCACGTGCTGCTGTTGAAGAATACCAAAGGCGTTCTCCCGATCGAAGGATTCCATCTCGAAGTGTATTTACGCGAATTCACCAGACAGTGGGTGATACTGGTTCTCTTCCGAGCGTTTCTGTGCACTCTGAAAGGGAGGATGTCCAAATGATAAACACACGAGAGAACATTCTTGAGATGGTTCAGAGAAGTCTGCATCTCTCCACTCGTAGAATGGCCTCTCGCATCGGCGTATCACGTATGCAGGTATGGCGAACTTTACATGATGAAGAGTTGTATCCTTAACATGATCAAAGGGTACAACATCTGGAACCAGGCAACCATGCTCAGTGTATGGATTTGTGCCACTGGATAAAAGCTCGTCCCGAACTGTTAAGCGTCATTTTATTCAGTGATGAGGCGTCTTTTACCTGGGACGGTGTAAATAATTTACAAACTGTGCATACTTGATCCCATAATAATCCACACGAGATAATGGTAATGAAATTCCAAAAGAGATTTTCTGTGACTGTATGGTGTGGTGTTCTTGGGAACAGGTTGATCGGACCTTTTGTGTTTCACAACAATTTAACTGGAAACACGTATGAAGCATTCCTGAGGAATGAGTTACCATGTTTGCTGGAAGACATCCCGTTAACGATAAGGAGCCAAATGTACTTCCAACATGACGGGGCTCCCCCACATTACACTCAGCATGTGAGACACTACTTAGATGAATCTTTCCCTAACCGCTGGTTAGGTCGTGGTGGACCCATTGCATGGCCACCGAGGTCGCCAGATCTTATGCCTCTAGATTATTATCTCTGAGGCCACATGAAAACGTTAGTCTATGAAACTAAGGTCAATTCATTAGAAGCACTGCGGATCGTATTTTTGCAGCGGCAGAACACATACGTCACCATCCAGGCAACACTGCTTCTGCTACCCAATCCCTCATGATGCGTGCCAAAAACTGCATTGCAGCTGGCGTATGACACTTTGAACAATTACTATAAAGCAGGTACTGTATTTTAGTAGTTATGTAGTCGCCTTATAACAGAATGCACAGGTTACGTCAGTGCTTGCCATTCATGTGTCATGTATAGTGCTTGGAACCCTAAGGACAAATATGACATGGTGTGCAAGTTCTTTTGTAGTTAAATTTAATGGCTTCATGTCACTCACAAGTTAGTCTGATGTTACGTACATTATTAATATTACAGAAACCACATATTCCTGCCAGTTTTAATATGTATTTGGTAATCAACAAGTGTGTAACACCTGTCAAAGTTTCACACTTCTCTGGCCATTATCTCTGTAACCGTTCAACTTTGGACATAGGTGTTTTGGGTTATATTGGCATACTTTAATATAAGGAACACCCTCCCAAAGTCTGGTACATTCCTCCTGGGACACCCTGTATATATATTAAGCCACCAGCGACAGGGTTAATGAAAGCAGAATTTATATATATATAAATCTTACAACTACAGTGAAAAAACAATGGATACTAACCCTCATGCATCGATGTCTCTGCTGGCGAATTGAATCAATGACTGATCGTATCCTCACAGAAAGAGGATTATCAAGCTCAGGCAATGATGTGCGTTCAATATTAACCTGGGCAGCTGAGAGAACACCAAACACATTCTGCACCCATTCCATACCAGCATTCAGCCCAATCCACAGAAACATGTGAATTCCATTTTCTGTAACAAAGAACACAGCATACTTTCAATGGGTCCATCCTACCATGGTATGTGTTTATTTACCGCCTCCTGATAAACGAAGAAAATTCAAAGATATTTGTGACAACAGACCTTGTACTGTGCTACTTGATCAATATTATAATCAAATTATGTCTTATAGATATTCATGAAACTTGAAATGTTGTATCACTGGAGGCTACCTCTACTTGAGCTTTTAATTCAATACAATCAATTTTACCAACATGGCAGTCATGCAAACTTCTACCAGGTAAAATATATATTTAGCTTTCAATTCAGTGGAGGTAAATACTCGTAATGAATTAACTGCAGGAAGAAATGTGAATTTGACATGAGGCTTCCATAAATAAAGTAAAAAATGTTGCTATTTTGAAGTTGTCTACAACTTTCAGGCAGTAGGTACTGTAACATTCTGTTCCCCCACCCATAATTAGTGTGTTCAAACTTATTAAATAACCTACATATAATGTAAGACACTTTTTACCTTCCAGAACTCACACCTTGATTTAACAAGACTATGGTTAAAACAATCAATATTCACGTCTTCTTTCTGCCAAGAATAATTACCACAGAACCATAATCTCTGTTTTTCCTGAATAAAAACAGAAGCTATGTCAGTTGTCGAATCACAGCTGCTTCAACTCTCATCTAAGGTTCTTTCACTGTTTATTTAATATGTCATTATTTACTTAAGAAATTAATTTCATATTAGTGTTTAAATAACCTGCATCAGAACTCACCTAGCAAGTACACACCATCATCCCGGATCTTCTCTGATGTACAACGGATAGCAGTAGGCAGTTCAGTAGAATCAACATCAATTTCATGAAGAGGGACAAGTCGTGGATAGAAGAACACAACAGATGATGGTATATCCATTATTGTGACTGCTTGCATTATAAATGACCGATCATCAATAGTCATGTCAGATCCTATAATTAATACATACCCAGATATAAGGAAACATTTTTAGTTTGTTATTTCTATTGCAGCACATATAGATGTTACATCAGTTGACAGTAGTATCTCTGTTGTTTTTTCTATGTTCTATGGATTGTCTTGTGGTTGCATGACAAGATGAGAATCTAGAAGACACTGTAATGATGCTCACACCTCATTTTTTGTAACTAAATGTATACATAACTTTATAATATTAGACAAAACTGTAAGTTATTATAATTTTAAACACTTTCTTCTAATGTAGGCCTTCTGAAGATTATCATATGGACCAGAACATGTAAAGGCAGCAAAATTAATTACCTTATGTATGTCACGCTGGATGGTATTCTTACTATGATTAAAATTAATATGAGTGTAAGGGTAAAGAGGTCAAATTTGGAAATAACAAATGGAAAGATATTTTCTGAGGAAAAATACCACACAAAGAATAAGCCCACAAGAAGGTAAAACAAATAAACTCCGTGGTTTTAGCCCGCAAGCGAACAATACCAACTGACCAACTGCTGCTTGTCAGTGAAGTTAGTGCCACCTTTAGCGGATAGAGGGTGTCACGTGGTCAGTGTAATAAATCCCCATGGTCATTAATCTCGGTTTCCTAGACCGGAGCTGCTATTTCCTTGAAATAGACCCTCAATTATCCTCATGAGGCTGAGTGGACCCCGTTCCAGACCCACTACTTCTCAGAAAATCTGGAAGCGCTGGGAATCGAACCCAGGGCCTCTGGATGTGTAGCCAGGAACTCTGACCACTAGACCACAGTGGCAGTCCCACAAGAATGTATGCCATGTAAAATAACAACCAATATAAACGAAAATACTGCCTTGCTGTCAGGGATGTGACTTTAACTTGTGGCTGGGGAAAGAAGTTTCATTGTTTACCATCCAAATTAAACTTTTAAAGTAATAGAGAGTGAAAAATTCAACTGCATAAAGTAGGAATATAAAATGAAATTCTGCAATTTTGAGGCTGATGATTTCAATCCATCTTGACCCTGCAGGAGAAATTACTGCTACTATTGTTATCTTAGAAATGGAAGATATATGCAGATTTTACGTGGCATTTACTGGGGGGGGGATCTCATACTCTGGAATAAACAGAAATGTAAATGTTCTACATTCCCAGATGGTTAGCTCTTCTTACTCGCCTTCTCTGCTATATGCTGCCAGTATAATTAACACGTAACTGATGGTACCATAAAGATGCAGCCAACTTACCTCCAGAAATTGCATCACTCTTGAGGATGTTATTCATATACAGTGGGAGCAACTTCATGCACTCAGGCAATATCAGCTGTCCTGCTGAGGATGGACTTGAGCAGTACTTCCTGTAGGTGGCCAGAATCTGTGCACACCGCTTTATTAGGTTCTCTTTCACTGCTTTTGGTGATGATTCCAACAACTGAAACACCGCTGTAAGACAAAAATATCAAGCAAGCACTGTACTTCAGAGGTAAACATTCAATCACTTATCTACAACAGCACATAAATTTGTATTATTCCTCAAACCGGGTGGGGATGGGGGGAGACTTTGTACATGTACACCCAAATATATATGTAAATAACTATATACTAATTAGATCAGGAAGCTTATAACACGCACCACAGGAAATACTTCGCCAAAACACTAATGCAAGTACACTAAGTACTTTCTTCCCAATTACTGTACACGTAAGTTGCTACTAGCCCTTGCAGGCACAGTTCTGAGCCCTGTGTGACTAATGACCATATTTTACTGTCTCAATAGCCTGGAAGTCATGTGAAAGGAGGTTCAGTCTAGCAGATGCTCTTCTCTACCAATAGTAATTACTGTACATACCATATTAATCAGGTTCTACTACTTTCATATCCATTCCAAAAATCTGAAAATATGTACTTTTTATATAGATAAATAACATGGGCCGCGCCATAGCTCAAGCGGTTAGTCGCTGGCTTCCCACCGTGGCGGCCATGGTTCGATCCCGGGTCTGGTCAAGTGGGATTTGTGGTGGACAAAGTGGCACTTGGGCAGGTTTTCTCCGAGTACTTCAGTTTCCCCTGCCAATCTTCATTCCACCAATTGCTCCACAATCACCCTCACACATCATCTGGGGCTGGTACAATAGGCCAGAAGTGACCGCAGTACAAGGGACTTAGTCCCACACCAGTAGAAATAATAATAAAAAGAAAAAGATAAATAACAATATTTTTCCTTAAAATATAAATTAGAAAATGGGTCATCTTATTACACACAAGTTTACCTCAGACGGGTAAACACAATCTATTTGTCACAGTAAGGGTTCACCTACTCTCTCTTCCTCTCAACCGTAAGTGAACTAAAGACATAAATGTACTGGCCCTGTCCATAAAACACAAAGTGCATGCAGACAGGGGAGTCTGTGAATGCAATTAGCTAGATCAAAAACACTGCTTAGCCTGCTAAATGTAACTTATCATATCTCTCATGACCAATGTGTTCCTGTTAACCACCAGTGTGCATGCACATAACAAAAGTCCAGTGACACAGCTACATAGCTTGTTTCATGAACAAATGAATGTGGTGGCTTTAAGAACCTTTGATCTAATGACAGGTGATGTAAGCTGATAAGCTTGGTCAGACTCTCCACATTGCCTCCCTCGCCCCTCAAGAGCCCAAATACCAAATAAAAAAGGAAAATTGCACTCTGTGTCCAGATGGGTTCTACTTCAGGAAGTGGTATATCCATTTTATTTGATGTTTCTTGGAGAAATTTTGCTATATAAATAATAAATGCCTGAACTGTTAACACCCAACTTCCTCATACACCCCTAATCTCTGGTCACTGAATTTGTTTTCTAAACATAACACAGCATAAAAAATTTCAATATAAGTACTTAGAAGACTTCAATCCTTTCTTCTCCCTAAAGCCTCAAGCTATGGTCTTTTGAGCTCCCTGCTCTCTGGTTGAATCACAAAACCGAAGGAATTCACTTTGAAGGTGGAAGGAGTTCCTATTATTCTCAATGACAAGAAGGCTGATACAGGCGATAAGCAAGCAGAATGCTACTTGAAATGATTATGGAAGTTGGGGTGTAATATTCTCCTATTCTACAAAACAGTTGCCTTGCTGGTTGGGAGAGATGTGGATGGCATGCACAAATATTCATAGCAGATCTGGACTGTGTTAAACCAGAGACCTCTGCGATGGACGCTCAGTACTTTATCTTTAGACCTACAAGTCTGATGGAGCAGCAGCCTCCTTCAGAAGCTGACAGTCACTCATTTGGCCTATAACCTCTCCTCAAATTTTATGAAATCTAAAGGTTCGATACCATAATCTGTCAAGTGATGCTATCATACGCCTGTTGAATGCAGTCCACACCCTTACACTGCATGCCTGTAAGGTCCCAGTATGTACTATCCTCTCATCTGCCTCAGCCTCCAAAATGACCTCTCCTCTTCAGGATCTTCAACTAAAATTGACTTGCACTGTCCACCTCCCATGTTCATACTGCATGTCTTACTCATCTCATCTTCTTTGATTTGGTCTTCCTACCGTTATTTGGTGAAGATCACAGATTACAAAGCTCCTCATTATGTAATTTTGTCAAATATTCCATTTTTGTCTTTTACCTTCAGGCCAAAAGAAGCCAGGATAGCATAGTCAGTATAGCGACTGACTACAAGCTGGATGACCAAGGGGTCAGAGTTCCAGTCCCAAGAGGGTCAAGAATTTTCTCTTCTCTGCATCATCCAGACCAGCTCTGGGGGCCACCCAGCCTCATATCCAAGGGTACCAAAGTCTCTTTTCCAAGGGGTAAAGTGGCCAGGGCATAAGGCTGGGCCACTCACCTGCCACTAGTGCAGAGGTCAAGAAAATGTGGATCTATACATCCACTCCCTCATATGCCTTCATGGCATAATGCTTAATTAGTTAAGCCCAGGGATAACTTTTACCTTTACGCCCAAACAGTTCAGTGAATTAAAGAAATGATAGAATTTTCTTCAGTCTTCTTTTCTTTCCATAACGATGTCAGACTTGGTGACAAGTGAAATGTGAATGCAGAAAAATTTACATAATCACTATAATGATACATGCAAACAAATAATGCATAACAAGAAGGCCATGAATTATGTACCTTGTTTAGAGAAAAAGTTAATAAGTGTATCCAGTTCACAGTTTCGATAGAGGTCAGCCATCTCTGTGCACGTTTTGAGTGAAAGATTGATGATGCGTATGCGCCTCTGTCCACCACATGATGTATACAGTAAAGCAACCTGAATATAGACTCCATCTTCGTCTGTGAGCTTGTCATCATGCTTGATTTCTATGGCAAGAGCCTGCAACATATTTGTATTTGTGAGAAATCATTCACCCTGATGTCCAAAGGGAATATTTTGTACAATGTGATGATCTCTTTGGAGGTTTCTTTCAATACTTCTGTGATGGGAGATTTAAATCAATTTAAATTATGTGAACACAGATGAGATGCGGTTTTAAACTGACATAAATGTATACTTGTACTCAAATGGTCATAACTTCTATAACCAGATATTCATATAGATTTTGTATGCAAGTCCTGCAATATGTGCAGAAAAATAATGCTGGAACTTCAGTTTGGTGCGGTAGTCCCTGAAGCAGATAAAATTGAGGCCAACATTCCCTTTAGCATAACACCTAACACACACCACAAATTCTCTCAATACTCATTTGAATATCTCCCCCCCCCCAAAAAAAAATTAATTGTTCTGCAAGACAGTTGGCCTCAATTACTATACCTTCCACCCATTCTATACTACAGCATAATTTTGTGTTTACAAAACATCATGTGTTCTCTGCTGCACTATACAGCTGAAATTCACCAGCAAAAAGCTCCCTCTAACTGTATAAACTGATATGTCTTTCCAATTAAAATCTGTCACTAACTGCCATTAAACCTCTTCATTATCTTCATATTTCAGCCAGTATCTATCCTTGGGGAAAGGCCTCCAGTATAAATTGCACAGGAAGCTAGGCAGATTCCATGGCTAGTCAGAATATAGTGCTGATAAGAGAAATTTCTAACTGCCACAAGCTGAACCCCAGTCACACTCCCATTACTGTCTTGTTAACTGACCTATCCCAGCTTAGAGCAATAACATATGAAAACACAACATTACTCATTCACCTTATTCTACTACTTTTACATTAGTTCAAAAAATTCCTAACACACAAATACAGTAGAACTTGGTTATAACGTCATCAAAGGGACCTAAAAATAGTGTCGTTATAAACGAATGTCGTTGTAACCGAAATGGGCACTTCCACAGTAGCCTTATGTTAGTCACGTAAAAATCTACCAAAAACTGAGTTAAAATGTTG